CTCTCTCTCTCTCTATCTATCTATCTATCTATCTATCTATCTATCTATCTATCTATCCATCCATCCATCCAAGAAAATAAAATTAAAATAAAAAACGGCTGTTATGTGTGAGAACACGCAAAAGAGAGAGAGAGATGGATGGATGGATGGATGGATGGATAGATAGATAGATAGATAGATCCATCCATCCATCCATCCATCCATCTATCTATCTCTTTTGTGTGTTCTCACACATAACAGCCGTTTTTTTATTTTTATTTTATTTTTTTATTTTTTGTTTTTTTGTGCATCGGTGGCCAGCACACGCCACAGGTATGCTCCAACCCCAACCCCCCATACCCCTCCCCCATCCCAAAAAGTTTCTCTGCGGATTTGGGCTGTACTCAGCAAGTGCAGTAAGGCTGCGCAATCAGGAAAAAGAAAAAGCAGCGGATGCCTGTTTTCTGACTGGTCGGCGGACCGCCGACCGGTCAGCCCCGATCGGTCAGGACAAAACGGTCGGCGGTCGGGGTCGGCAGTCGGCGCCGGTGCAACCCTGCCTGCATACAAACAAGTTTGTGTGCTTGACCAGCGGCCTGGGCTAGGCACCTTTGGACTTTGACTGTTGGGACCCCGACAGTTGACCAAAGTCAACTGCCGCACGTCCAGGCCCTGAGTCCTCGTGTGGGGTCTTTTGGCCCTGTTTCGGCCTGGCCTGAGGGCGGCCGAGTCGGCCCTCAGGTTTTCCACGAGACATATGGCATGGGTTATTGCAAATATCTCTTGCCTTTCCTTCTCTGGTGAATTGTTCAGAGAGGCATCCTATAGTTCTTGATGATTACTGCTCCTCTGTAAGACAGACTGCTGAGCGGACATGGTGTATCGATCTGCTGCACGTTTTACTTATACAGTCATGAACAAATAGAACAGTGAATACCATTTTTTCACGTTTTCAAAACAGGGGAAAGGTCCCAGCGCGCGTGGACATGGTTTATCAATCTGCTGCATGTTTTACTTATACAGTCATTGACTCGTCAACGAACAGAACGCCATTTTTCTCGTTTTTGAACAGGGGAAAGGTCCCAGCACGGTCCAGCAGCGGATTCTGACAAAAGTTCCCTAGAGACTACCGTCTTGACCTGAATAGGGTGTCCGGTCATTATGGCCATCTCCAGACTAAATGTTGCCCCAAATACAGCTACAATGACCGGGCGTTCCATTGGGGTGAAGACGGCAGTATCCATTTGTGAGGAACAACCTGGACATGTGCATCCTGCTCATCCAAGATATGTTTTGGTTGGTCGGGGCGATGTCTGATCTCTATTTAATATCTTTTTTTATTTTATTGTTGACGGATGGAATAATGTATTTTTCATTAGAAATTGAGATTCAATAGCAGACTCTTTGAATGAAGGTATTCTTGGATAAATACTCAGTGTATTTATTCTATTATTTATCCTCTGTTCTAGTTCAACAAAATTGATTCCATTCTCAATTTACATAGT